ATCCTAAAACCACAAAATCTTCAAAATTCCCTATTCAATTCAAAAATCACATAAATACAAAAAAAATTAAATTCTAATTTAAATATCTTTAACCAAATATCCTAAATTCAAATCCTAATCCAAACCTTAAATTTAATTGTGTTTTTTAAATTTAATTTTAAAAATCCTCCCCACCCATCCTAATCTAAAACTTAAAAAATAAATTTCAAATATATAATATTATTTTTTGCAAAGAATATTTAATCAAATATATCCTTTTTAAACAAATATAAAATACATATTTTCAAAAAGCCAATTAACAAATATTAAATAAGAAAATCAAATTACATTCTTAAATACATTTATATGAATTTATTTATTTATTTAAATAATTAATACTAATAATCAAAAAAATTAGAAGGAACTTCCGTATTACGGCAACTAATTGAAAGCCAACTCTCGCCGAGACAGATGAAGAGAAGGAATAAGCACGCGAGAAAATATGCGCGCGTGTGGTGGGAGTAAAGAATCTGCAAAAAGCGTGGTCCTATGCGTGAATTGGTGTCTCCGGAAAGCTGGAAGTTCGCGGCGCCTGGTCGAAGCGCATTTGGAGCGCGTTCGGAGCGTATTCGGAGCACGATCGAGCAGTCTCGGACCATGCTCGGAGCGCGGGCCCATTGGCGCGGCAATACGAAGGTTTTGCAAGGATTGAATTGTGTGGTAAGCGCAGCATTTTCGCAAGGTGAGGTACAGATTTCGTGGCAGGCGTAATATTTTCGTAAAGTCAAGTTTTCCCTAGGCTTGAATTGCGTGGCAGGTACAGCGCTATCGAAAGGTTAGGTACAAATATCGTGGCAGGCGCACAGATTTTGTAGCAGGCACAGCACTTTCGAAAGGTCAGGTATAGATTTCGCAACAGACGCAACACTTTCGCAAGGTCACGCAAAGAATTCGTGGCAGGTGCAGCACTTTTGCAAGGTCAAATGCAGAATTCGTGGCAAGCGCAGCATTTTCGCAAGGTCAAATGCAAAATTCGTAGCAGGCACAGCACTTTCGCAAGGTCAAGCAAAGATTTCGTGGCATGCACAGCACTTCGTACAAAAGTAGTACGCGAAATCAATTTTCGCAACTGGAACTCCAAAATTGCAATTTTTAAGTACGAAAATAGTATGCGAAATCCATTTTCGCAGCTAAGGCTCGAAAATCGCAACTTTTGAGTACGAAAGCAGTACGCGAAATCCGATAAATAGAGGAATAGATAAAAGGATAGATAGATAGATATAGATAAAGAAAGAAATAAAAACATAAATAAATGGATAGATAAGTAAATAAAAAATAAATAAACAGAAAGAAAAAAAGAAAGAAATAGAAAAAGAAATAAATCAATAATTTAATAACAAATAAATAAATACACAAACAGAAAAATAAAGATGTAGATAGATAAAGAAATATATAGATAGATAAATGGATAGATGGATGGATGGATAGTAGATAAATAAGGAAAAAGAGAAAAATAAAGAGATATATAAAAAGTTAGGCAAATAGAAAAATAAAATATAAATGAATATATAAATATATAAAATTATAATTAAATATAAAGATGAATAAATACACGAAAAACAAAAAATAGATAAATAGACAAATAAATATATAGGTAAATAAATAAATACATACACAAATAAATAGATCAAAGGAGAGATAGATAAACAGAGAAAGAGAGATAAATAAACAGATATGCAAATAAAAAGATATATATAAACAAAAAGAAATATATAAATAAAAAAAAATACATAAATAAAAAAAGAAAAATAAAGAAAATTATAAAAAGATAAATAAATAAATAAACAAAAAATAAATAGACAAATAAATTAATAAATAGAAAAATAAATATATAAATAAATAAATAAATAAATACAAACATAAATAAATAAACATATAAATAAATAGATAAACAAATAGAAAGAAAAAAAGAAAAAATAGAGGGATAGAGAGATAAACAAATCAAAAACAAGAGACATAGATAAAGATATAAAAATAAATAAATAAGCAACTAAATAATTAAATAAGTAAAAAAATAAAAAAAATAAAAAACACCATATAAATAAACAAACAAAAAAATGGAAAATTAACGGAGAAAAAAAAACAATAAAAAACGGAAAAAAAAAGAAAAAAAAGAAAAAAAAGAAAACTATAATTTTTATATTTTTGAAATTTCCGCCCACCGACTTCGCCGACTCTATTAATAACACATAATATTCACATTAAAAACAATAAATCAAAAATAATATATATAAATTATGTAATATTTCATACCCTTCATACTTAATTTCATAATATTTTATAAATAACATATAAATAATAATTATATATTTTAATTTGCCAAATTTATAAAATGTTCATTTAAACTTAACATATAATAATTATTATCAAAAATCCATATAAAAAAAGCACAACTAATATCCACAACAACATACATTTTCCCCAACAGCTGAAAGCTTTGGGGTCTCAGCCTAGATGGGGTCCCGGGGTGGTCCGGGGCGGCCCTGAGGTAAGGTTCCACGAGGGTTCCACGAGGGTTCCACCAGGTTCTGCAAGGGCTGCGGGGTAGTCCGGGGTGGTTTAAGGTAAGGTTCCACGCCACCAGGGTTCCACCAAAGGTTTAAGGCAAGGTTCCACGAGGGTTCCACCAGGGTTCCACCAGGTTCTGCGAGGGCTGCGGGGTGGTCCGGGGGTTCCACGAAGGTTCCACCAGGTTCTACAAGGGCTGCGGGATGGTCTTGGGTGGTTTGAGGTAAAGTTCCATGGGTTTCACCAGGATTCCGTGGGGGGATGTTCCACCACGTTCTGCGAGGTGGTCTGGGGTGGTTTGAGGCAAGGTTCCACGAGGGTTCCATCAGGGTTCCACCAGTTTCTGCAAGGGCTGCGGGGGTGGTCCGGGGTAGTTTGAGGTAAGGTTCCACAAGGGTTTCACCAGGATTCCGTGGGGGGATGTTCCACCACGTTCTGCGAGGGCTATGGGGTGGTCTGGGGTGGTTTGAGGCAAGGTTCCACAAGGGTTCCATCAGGGTTCCACCAGGTTCTGCAAGGGCTGCGGGGTGGTCCGGGGTGGTTTGAGGTAAGGTTCCAACAGTTCCACCAGGGTTCTGCCAGGGCTGCGGGGGGTCCGGGGTGGTTTGAGGTCAGGTTCCACCCACCATGGTTCCACCAGGTTCAACGGACCAGGTTCTTACCAGGTTCTAATTCCGCCAGGGTTTCACCAAGGCAAAGGTTCCACAAGGATTCTCCACCAGGGCTCTACCAGTGTTCCACCAGGCTCTGCGAGGGCTGCGGGGTGGTCCGGGGTGGTTTGAGAAGGTTCCACAAAAGCTCCTCCAAAGTTCGACCAGTTCCACCATTGTTGCACCAGGTTCTGCAAGGGCTGCGGGGTGGTCGAGGTTCTGCGAGGGGTGTGGGATGGTCCGGGGCGAGGTAAGGTTTCAAAGGGTTCCACAGAGTTGCGCGAGGATTCCACAAAGGTTCCGCAAGGTTCCATGGTTTGCCCTAAAGAAAAATAATGTGTCGTGCGCCCGTCGTCTGCTCAGAAGATCGCCTATGCTCACAGAGTTCATGGTTCTCAGCACACTTTCAATGTTTTTTGACTTGCTCACTTCTTCAGGCAATGCGGCCCGAAATGTTGGCTTTGCTGCAAATCAGATCACGTTGCTGCGGGACTCTCACTGTGCAGCAGAGTAAATGCTTGGCAGTACTGAGTAATACTTCTGCAAAAGCTATGGGGCAGCCCTGAGGAAAGGTTCCAACAAAGTTTCACCCTTCAACGAGGACGGTTTGCGAGGTGATGTGCCGTCGGGGCCCGATTGCACCGTCGGGGACTGATCGGGCCCGATTGCGCCGTCGGGCCCCGATCGGGGCCGGACTCAGTCGGGCCGCGTCAACTGTACCAAGCTGGTATGGCCCAGTTTTGCTGGATACAAAAAACCGGCGTTGATCTATAATATGTGGCTGGGGTTGGCGGGAGCCCGCACCACGGGACCATCGGCCCGGTCGGGGCCCGATTGCGCTGTCGAGCCCCGCTGGGGCCCCGAGAGCGGAGCCCCGATTGCGCCGTCGGGCCCCGATCGGGCCCCGATTGCGCCGTCAGGCCCCGATCAGGGCGCGATTGCGCAGTCACTCTTAGCTTTGCTTTACAAAGTTACAACGCGGCATCCTCAGCAAAACCGGTCGCGGGGTGTTCCGCAAGGATTCTGGGAGGGTGTGGCGCTGTTGGGGATATCGCCTGAGCTTATTTTTTTTACTCCCATCAACCCTCGCAAAACCTTGTAGAAATCTGGTGGAACCCTAGTGGAACCCTAGTAGAACCCTAGTAGAACCCTCGTAGAACCTTACCTCAGGGCTGTCCCAGACCACCCTGGAGCCTATCTGGGCTGAGACCCCAAAAGTTTCAGCTGTTGGGGAATAGACCAATATATTTAAGGCTAAAGACCCGGAAGCTAAGAAATAACCAAGATCTACATATATTTACGATCGCACATATTCGCAACTTATTTCCGAATTCCCTGCTCGCCGTATTATTAGGGTTTCCGCAAGTGTTATTTTCAAGGGTCGCGCCATGCAATCGCTTGAATCTGTCGACGATACTCTGCCCACAACAATAATTTCATTGACGTTGATTGCTCCATGCTCCAGCGCTCCACTCCAAGTTCAGATTTCAATAAACAAAGGAGACATTTACACGGGCAAAAGCACAAGCCTACATTTAAAATGCATTGAAACTTCAAACAAAGGCCGGTATCGTAAAAACAAGATAAGGGGTAAGATGAAACGGGGCAAAGAAGACCCATCTTGGGACATGCCGCGCGCAACAAGAAAAGACATAAGGCACATGTAAACGGTGCGGCAAAAGCTGCCAAACAAGTTTGTTTTCTTTTCAGATTTGTCAATTTCGTCAGTCAGCTAGATTCTTGTACATATATAACGTGAGATGATCCTCCGCGTCCTGACAAATGCCATGAGATATGTTGAAATCACATGCTGCGCGAGTCCTGTGCTTCACAATCCATGCAAAATGAACGCAAGAGAACAGTTCCAGACCCTGAAAGAACGCACAAGCCACACAGCTGGGCCTTCTGTCTCTTTCGCACAGCGTAACCGCTGCTGTTATACAGGTTGAAGGCAGCGGGGTCATCGTCAGTGTGCAGGTACAGGGCGTTGCCCTGCCAAGCAGTCCTGGTCAATGAATCTTGGGACTTTCTAAGCGCGGCGCACTAACACGTGCCAAGCGCACTCAATCGACTTGAGGGGGGAACAAACAACTTGAGGGGGGAACAAAAACGAGCTTGGCAGAAGCAAGTCGGGAAAGAACTGGAAAGCTGACTGGGAGAAGCAGCGGAGACAAGAGGGAGTAGCCAAGCAAGGAAGCAAGTGGGAGAGAAGCAAGGGGCAGAAAGGATCTCGAGGGCAAACGTATGAACAAAAGCGTACAAAATGCCAAGAGAAGAGCAATCAGTGCTGGGGCGAAGGCAGCGAGAGAGGGCGCGGGCGACTGCGCGTGTCAGGTATTTCAAGGATCTTATTGCCAGATCTGCCGCGCCTAACTTCTGAACCAAGCACTTCTTACGTAGGCAGTAACATCATCTGGCTGGCGCTGACGTCTGTGATCCTTACACGAATGCGCCTGCCAAAACACGCTGTGCGGGAGATAGCCATGATTCGCTGAAGAAAAACTATGGCAATCCAAAATGTAAATTAACGCGGCAATGATTATACACACCCATACACCCTTTGCTGGCACATCTCGTCTCGCTGTTTTGCAGCCAACTGGGGTCTAATCTATCTCTGCGGCGTCATGTCGAAAGTAAGCAAATCCCGCTTTTTTGCAGCCAACGGATTTCTATTCCAACTCTGAGGCTTCACGTTGAAAGTGCGGACGCTAATCGGGACTGGCGTCGTGGCGCGGAGAGGACAACCAAAGCAACATGGGCAAGGTTGCGCTGCGCCATCTATTCTGGTCATCTGTTCAAATGGTCCTGCTGAAATCTTCCACCAACTTCAGCAGCTTGCGGCCCAGGCCCCGGCCTCTGCAGGCCTGACAGATTAACTTGGGAACCACCAGAAAAGCACCCGTTTGCTCAAGTATCCAATTGGAGAAAAATGCAACAGCAGGGACCCTGCTGGAGCAAAATTGTTCTATTGCGTGAATCGATTCACATGACTTTCCTTGTCCAGAGTTGACAACCTTCAACACATTAAATTCACTGCAAGCCAGACTTCTGCGTCACGAGTTGCAACACGTGGTGAAATCGGAGCGTAGCACGTTTGGCTGCAACGATTCTCTCGAGTTGGGTGCAGAAAAACGAAGCGCTGGTTGTTTTCTGGTGAGGGCGAGCGAGTAAGGGATTTTGAGTCCAACATGTTCGCCTCACCAGCCCGCCGTTTCCCTCGGAAGGGGCCGCCTTTGCCACGCACAGGTTCGTCAGGTACGGCTGCGAATCAGGGCGCCTGGACTCCAAAACGTGGGAAGTTCTGCCAACAGCTCTTGTCTCTTCAAAGACGCGCTTCTTAGAGCAGTCGCCAGCGCCCAAGCCTTCCCGCTCATACGACAGCGTTCGCCAACCCCTGTTGTGTTTCTTTCATTTATGTCTGCCTCGTGCTTGTTTTGGTACGCCTGTGAGTGTGTGTGTGTGTAGTGTTGTGATTCTCTGCAAAGAACGCATTTTTTCTAACATTACAGATTGAGCAATGTTGCTTCACCCCTTCTTCTCACTCCTGTATTTGCTTAACTGCATTCATTTTGGATTTCTTTGCTTCTGACTTCTTCTTGTGTACTTCACGGCATCTCTGACAACTTTTGAAAACTCTTCTAAACAGATTTCCAGCCTTACAGCGTCCACACCCCGAACAATCTTTCTTTTTTTGCAAGAGTTGAAACGCGAAGGCGAGTTGGGGGGAGTACAGCAGCAACTTTTTTGGTCTTGGAGCAAAAGGCAGCTTTTGCATCCCCAGCTTTGCTGGTATCATCCTGCAAGCGCCTGGGTGATGCTTGGTGCGCTGGGGTTTTAGTCTTTGACACGATGCTTTGCGGGCGTTTGCGTCCCCAGCTTCTGCTAAGGGTGCCGGGTCGGTTCTTGCCCGTTTGCGGTAGCAGTTGAGGTTGCCTTCCATGCCCCCCCTTGGCCTTCCCAAACGATACTTCTACCACCCAAAAGGGGAAACTTCTGCCGCACCCTACTCTAGCGTCCTTTGCCACTTGGCCCCCCTTCGAATTGTTGAGAGGGCAGCATCCACATGTAGTAGTTCATTGGTCGTTCCTGGAAGCCCCTCTCGACAACAAGCATCGTCGCTGTTCAAGCGCATCCATGCCCTCTACATCTTGGGGGGCCCGCGGAAGCTGACGCCACGAGCTGGTTGAAGCCGACGCGCTCGTTCTATGATGAAAGGGACGAACCATTAAGGGAAAGTGAGAATGTAATTAAGAACAAATGAGGCTTACAGATGACACATTGCAAACAAACATGCTGGAGCAAGGCCTTGCTTGAAGGGACTTGGTTGGTAGGTTTCTGGCCAGCGCATGTTAGCGTGGCCAGGCCCGCGCTTCCCCCGGCCAAAGCTTGGGGAACTAAACGCAGCCAAAACACAGGCCACACCATGGGCAACTGGGTCAACCCAAGGGCGGCGCAAGTGCGGAGAACAACACAGAAAGAAAGGCCACCGCGGGGCCACGGAAGGGTTCAAGGCCACGCAAGGGCCAAGACAGGAAGCAAGGCGCGCAAGCGACGCAAGTTGCGTTGAGATATGGTGCGCCCTCCCTTTGGTCCAAAATGGACAAGTGACCTTGGTCGACGAGATGACTGTGCTGGAGGGCATTCCACGCAGGGCACGCAGGCCATGCCGGAAGCAAGGCCCGCGTGGCCGCGCAGAGGCCAAGACAGGAAGCAAAGTCAGCAAAGAGAGGGCAGCAAGGCTATGGAAGGAGCAAAGTGAGCCAAGCAAGGCCACGCGGCGGCAACAGCACAACAAGCAAAGTGAGGATGGGCCATAAAAGAAGCAAAGCAGACAAGGCCACAGGAGCCACGGAAGGCCACGTAGGGGCCAAGACAGCACGCGCGAGGAAGCAAAGTGAGGACATCTTCTTTACCATTTTTGGTGTAGGGGCGAAGGAGATAAAAAACAGGGAGAGAATCACTCATGTGTGAAGCTGGCAAAAGAAGCTGTCTAAAGATGACATTGTGCTTAAGTGTTTTGGAATAACTGGTGATATGCTGGCATCGGCGCGCAGCATTGCTTGTACCAGTATGAGATGCTGAAATGTAGCACATGAAATCAGAGAGACTAAACATAAATGCCAAGTATGTAGAAGGAATTCGCATTGCCAGAAAATTGGTCAAGACGCCAAGAATAGACACACATTTGAAATACAGAACTATGAATCTAGAAGACAATGAAATAGGACAACACATGAAATTACAGAATCTAGTAAACGCAGAAGTCGCATCTATTGTAGATGTGAATGTTATTTTTGCATACGGTGCTACTGCTGACTCCTCGCAGGGGGCGAGAGTAGAAGGACGCATTACCATTCATCAACACAACTTGTCTATTGTCTCCAGAGGGTGGCTACTGTGCGCAGCTACTAGTTTAGACATGTCATTTTATTGAAACGGCAAGTTAGACAAACAAAGTATGTTTAACACAGTTTTTGAGACCTTCAATATAGAACCGTGGCGCCCAGAGAGAGAATAACACATAGCCGTGGGTTGGGTTGATGGACTACGAGACGCGCGAGGAGGGCGGAGGTAGCTGGCTGCCGCTGGGGCACGGGGCGCGCAGGCAGCAGTTCAGACATCCTGGCCCGCCGGAACCGGCGGGCGGCAGAGCAAGGCACTGAAGGTTTATGACAGTTTCAAAAGTGTAACACTCAGTTTTTGTTGAAACGAAGCAGGGGGATTTGTGTGGTAACTTCACGGCACTGGCGACTGGATAACTCTGAAAGGCTTCCATTGCAATGTTTGGGCAGACTCTAAGGTTTTAAGATTACTTTAAAACCACAAGTAACTAATGAACATCATTAAAGCGTTTCCCCTTCTCTGCCACAAATCTTCTCGAAACCGATCCAACTCCGGTCCCAAGAAACCGGCCAAAACCGGTCCACTCTCAAATCATCGGCCAAATCCCGTCGAATTTTCCCCTTGCCGGCCGAGCCAATCTAGAACCAGCCGAGCCGCCTCTAGTAACCAGTCCAACTCCGGTCAAGAACTCCATCAAGCCGGTCAACTTCCCCTGAACAACCCCTCTGAAAACCGGTCCAACTCGGTCAAGTCTGTGGAAACGCGCGGACACACGCGCCCACCCTCTACCTTAGAAACCAGCTCACGCATCTCGGCGCTGACTCACTCACTCTAACAAACACAACACTTCAAGGCAAACAAAAACACAGTATATACCTCAAAGCGAGGCAAAAGCCGAATGGTCGAGGCGGGCAAGGCGAGGAATATTGCAATGCAATCAGGATATTATAAAACCTAATCTTATTACAAACTATAAACGGAAAACTTGAAAGACATATAGAAGAAGACTTAATAATAGTCCTTGTCGCTAATGACATCCCGCCTCATGATTATGCTAGACAACTTGTGAAGATCAATAAGAACACATATGATGTTGTTAACAACGTATCAGTATCATGGCTGTTCAAACGTGCACATGCAATCGATGTGAAATAACATATTAAGCTCTACCTTCAAAATACAAATTTTAACGCGAAGCTTTACCTTTAACGCGGAAATACGAGTTTTATCATTTAGATAATGTATGAAAGGAGCTGTAAGAATGGACTGCTATATAATCATCAGTTGAATTATCCCGAACTCAAATTCAAGTAATCAAATTAACAGTATCAGCATACACATCTGATACTTTTTTATACGGATAAATACAACATACACAGGGATATGTGTTACGATAAAAGCGTTGGAGACAAGCGGTAACTTTACAAGATGCCAGAAAGCAGGACAAACCAGATACTGCGGATGAAATTAATGAGTTCTTGAAACATAACTTTGATGGGAGAAGGAACATGCGAGGGCCAAACAGTTTTGCGCTCCACACAGGCATTGGGAGTTTCAAGTGGGCTGAATTCGGTTCACACTCGTCTCCGTTTACAAATACACTGATATACAGTGACGAAGAAGGCAGATAAGAAGACGAAGAAGGCAGTTTACTTAGTTCCACGATTAGAGACTATCTTAAATCGGAAAACATAGGGCTACACACCACTAGGGGTCACCCTGCCTTTGGTGAAAGATTTACCAGGACAAACAAAGATATGCTACAGAGACCAGATTTCCACGGATAGATTATGGTTCGGAACAAGTATCGACATACAATAACACGAAATTTGCACCAATAAGAGCAAGGAAGGAGAAACATGAGTTTGAGGTGAAATTGAACATTTCAATGAATGCAGAAAAACCGGCTGCTGATTTGGATGTGAAAGATTGTGGAAAGGCAGGAAATAGACTTAGTCCGAAGTATTATCATGTGTCCGACTTGCCTAAACCACTGTTTCGTGTTGAATGTATACTTCTTCGTTATTCAGACAATATCCAAAGCATCTTAAGCACAAATGACTGACACCCGAAACTTTGTCTTTGGAGTTGTCCGGGATTTGTGAGTGGTTGCGAATGCTTCGCGAGGAGTTTGATTTACCGTATGTAGCGCTTTTGTAGGGCAACCTCTTCGCGTTTAATGGGGAACCCTCGTTTTAGTGGGCAACCTCCTCGTTTTATCGGGCAACCTCCTTGCTTTTATGGGCGCGCCTCCACTGTTTTGACTCCAAACATCACGAGTGAGTTGATTAGTGAGTTGTTGGTGAGTGTTCTGTAAGTGTCGTCGTGTGCTTTGTTGATAGGTGTGATAAGTTTTGGTTTGGGTTTGGGGCGTGTATTTCGGGGCAGGCGGCTAACAATCCTGCAAAAAGTATGTTGGTTTGAAGTTGATTAAAAGAGTTGGTTGCTTATAGAATATGAAAATGACATATTGTTCAGGGTGTGGGTGGGATAAGGATGTAAACGGTTTTACAGGAACAGTCAAACTGCCGCGAATTACAAAGCAAGAAGTCAGATGCAATTACACATCTACGCGGTTAAGCAGACAAAGGATCTTGGGGCGTTTCGTAAGTTTTTGTGCGGCAGGTTGATAAATGCTGCAGCTTGGTCTGACACATGAGCGGCCACTGCTTGCTCATGACCCGCTGCAAAGAGCACCCTGTTTGCAGCCTGCACATGCAAGCAACAATTCAACAAACCGATCCCCCTTGAAAGAAAGCAGCGCCACATTTCTTCCTGCAATGGCCTGCCCAAACCTTCGGGCTGCTTGACGCACAGCTCGAAATAGCCGACGGGCGCGTCGCCCTTCCGCCTTAACAGGACCTCACTCACGGCAAGGCCCAGCCGAAGTCGTTTCTGCAAATGGGAATATGTCACAGCGGAACTCCAAAATGATACGAGGCATTAGGTAGCGGTTTTCCTTTGGCTACCCTTGTAACCAGCCAAGATGCGCCCAAGTTCCACTCCGCGGAACTTGGCCTTCGCAGGCTGGGAGCCTGCAGCAGTTGGGCCAAGCGCTTCCGCATAGCCCCCAGCGTCATCTGCCGCTCACTGAGTGCCTTGGGTGAGGCACCCGGTCAAAGGACGCGGATAGGAAGCCAATTCAATGACCCAACAGCTTTGCCTTCATCCTGAAGCAACATGTCTTGGACAGTTGTCAGCTCAAAAAGTCACTGGAGCATTGTTTGCAGGCCAAGTATGGCCAAATCGTCAATCTGAGTGGGGTCCCTGAGGATGTTGCTGAGGTTCAACCGTCAAAGCCATGTGCCGCAAAGGGGCCACCCAGCCGTTCCACAGACCACTCAGTGGGTTTCCGTCATCAATCATCCTTTCGCGGGCTCAGGCGTTCTTAAACGCCCATGAAAACAGTTGCCTGTTGGCCAATAATCCAAATGGGCGCATTTTCTATCACCTGCAGGATGTGGGATGTTGGGGTCTCATCCCACACCCCAGCCCATGTCCTGTCTTGGATGTGCCGCTGAAAGCTTTCATCCACCAGGTCCGTAAGTCCCTGCATGTCTTCGTCCTCTGGCACCACCAGCTCAAAGCCTCCTCAAGCGCTAACCAAATAAACCTCCGCAAAAGGCTCCGGCTCTCAAACAAGGGGCCGTGAAGAAGCCCAATTTCTGGACACTTTGAAGGTCTCAAACTTCTGGAAGAGCAACCTTAAAAAAGGCAAAGCGCATCAAGGTCTCACGAGGACAAAAGGTTCCCCTTCAAGTCCAATGTAAAAGTGCCAGGTCTGGCCACTGCGTCTCGATCCCAAGCAACTCACGCTTCGGCCCGCACCTTCGCAGGCATCTTTGGCAGCTGCGAGCACCTTGAGGCGAATGCAAACGCGAGGGGAAAGGCAGAAAACCAATCATAACAGGCGGAACAAAAGGCAACGCTATGCAACGCTGAAAGCTCCACGTCCTCTTGTCGCATAAAAGGGAGCTGGGCCCAGCTGTCATCCACTGTAGCGCGCGCAGAAGTATTGTGGGGATGGCATGTGTGTTTCTGCTCATTTGTTTGTTTGCGCTCTGCTTCTTCATTTGCTTGCGCGCTTGCCTGCCCGCTTGCTTGCTCGTTGGGTTTGTTTTTTCGCTCGTGCAACAAGTGTATCTATGTCACCTTGGGGAAAACCTGTGTGTTCAATATTTCGAAAGAATTTTGAGATACCAGGATGGTTTTTTGCAAAGCACCTTTGATGACCCGCGAGTTGGCTTGAACAAACTGGTGCGCAGGCACTTCTTTGACACCGCGCGTGGCATTTAGTTTACTATAATAATAATTGATTAATAAAAATTACTATATTTTATAATATATAATTAAATTTAAAAATATTTAGTTTACTATTAAACAAAATAAGTTGCCGTTAGTTGTCTAGTTAAAAGCCAACAAGACACAGCTTTTGTTGTTTCCTGCGTGAAATGCACAAGCCCCGATGCAGGCGACAAACTCGAATGCAGAACCCGCAGCCCCAAAATATTCCCAAAGACACCTCCAACGACATGACTGAAGCCACCCTAGAAGCAAACCGCCAAAACAGTCGTCAACACTTCTCGAAAACCATCCACCCCAGAATCCAACAAACAAAGCATTCCCAAAGCTTTGCCCAAAAGCCCCAACACACCCCCAAAGTCAGCCTCAAAGACCCAACACTTTGATAGAAAAACAAGGTCAAAAGACATGTAAAACGCAACGAGGTCCACCAAAGACAATCCACTCCCAAGACATCTTCCAAGACACGCCCCGACAAATACCCGCAATGACAAACCTCAAACGAAGACCCCGTAGATGCCACCAACGACATCTTCATTGACACTTCCCAAAAACATCCACTGAATTCTAGTCGCAGAGTTTTTCAACGAATGAACTGTCAGGATGGCTGATTGCTGATTGGAGTCCACTAATGGTCCACTCTACCATTTTAATTTGATTCGGGCACGGCGTCGCAGCTTGGGGCTGGCGCGCCGATTATGTTTTCAGACGCTCGAAGTGGCGAATCGGAGCCTTCCAAGAGGCGTGTTCAAATCTAGTCAAACTTTTGGTGGCCCGCTGTCGGGCGTGTTCACGCCGAAGCCTTCCAAGAAGGAATTTGGGCCAGATGTGACAAAAACAACGCAATGAGCGTTTTAAAGGCATAGAATGTCTAGTCCGGGCAGCAACCCCTGCAGCCAACCAGTGCAGCTGGTGGCAAGGCCCTAGGAACAGCGCGAAGTTGGTACGCGGGGAAGCCTGCAGAGTTACGCGGGCTTGCTTTATGTGTTATATGATAGTTATATCTGTGGCTTATTTCTTGCGCATTTTGCTGTTGTGGGTGTTTGCTGATTTCCAAGTAGCACTCTGACCTGGGAACATAAGCAACATAGAACTTGTTGCGCAATAAAACTTGAGCGATTACGCGGGCGTGTTTTATTTGTGTTGTATTGTGATTTGTTCCGTGGAATGTCTTGCGCACACGTTTGTTTGTGGTCCCGTTGTTTGTGATTTCCGCGCGAGCTCTTTCCTCGCGAGAGGCGCCCCGATGGAATTTGAGGAGGACAGAAATTGTTTTGAATGTCATTTTTCAATCCCGTCTAGCAATACTTCAACTTAGAACTGAAAATTGCAATCAAAATGGAACTGATAACTTTGAGCTTTTTGTCTGCAAAATACGCTACACATGTAGTTCAGGGGAGGTGAGAGGCGCATGGGATTCCAGATTCCCCGACCCCCCTCCCAACATCTTGAATCTTGAGCCTCATCCATTTGTAGTAAGCGGTCGGCAGTTCCGCTGAACAGCACCACTCTAGGTGTCACTTTGGTTCAACGCGCCTGTGACAGCTCTGTTCTCGCGCCTTATCATTTTGCAGAGAAAAACAAGCAAACCTTCAGTTTTGTGGAACTTCAAAACTTAAATTGATATCCACATTAATTGTACAGGCAGTTGATACCGTTCCGCAAAATGGAGGAACAAACATTAGAGTTGCAAGTTGGCATTGAAATCTTCAGCTTCGAAAGGTTAAATACCGTTGCAACAGTCCGTGCAATTTTCAGTTGACACGACTTGGGCCAAGCCAACCAGCGCAGCATGTAATTTAAGCATGAGGGCACCTGCAAGATCGAACAAGAAAGGCCTGTCAAAACTTGCAAGCTTCTGGCAAACCTTAAAAGCTTCTTGGCCTTGAGTGCGCCCAAGCTTGCACGTGAAGCAGTTTGTTGGGAATGTTGAAAGTGTTGGAAAAATAGCAAGTGTTGCGCAACATTTCCGAGACCCTCAGCGAGCCAAGCTATGAAGTTGCCCAATACTACAATAGAGCCACTCAACGAAAAAGGCAAACACACAAAGCCAAGAAACAACAAAATACAAAAGAAACAATCCTACCCCCACCATTGTTGGATAGCTTGTTTTGTTTTGTTGTTGGATTCTTGCTTTCTGTCTATTGCAATGTCGGCCAAATGTTGCGCAACATCTCCCAGCCTCCCAGCTTGGTTTGCAAGGTTGCACATGTTGCGCAACATATGTCAAATGGTGCGCGACATGTTGTGAAGTTGCCCGAATTCCCACACAAAATAAGCCTGAGAAACCACAACTTTAGTTTTTGTGGTGTGTGTGTGTTACAATTTGGGAGACGTCGCGCAACATTTCTGCTGGACACAACAGAAAAAAACACTACAAAGTACCTGTTTGCAGTTTGTTGGTTCGCAACATGTGGGGTGTGTTGTGCAACACCCCCTAAAGTTCGAACCAAATATGCCACGTCTTGATGGTTCTCAGCATGCCTGCCAAATTTGATTTTTGCTTTTGGGGGTGCCGTTTACATATAGATATATACATGTAAACATATATGTATACATATATATATATAACATACATATATACGGCGTTTATGATGGAGGGCGCGTTCAAACAGAAGAAGCAAAACACACACAAGGCAAACGGTGGGACCGACAACTGAAGCCGACAGCAATCAGCTAAAAATGAGTTGCAAGAGACAGTGTCCCAAGCAGCGCCCGGCGCGCTCGCAACTTGAGGTCAATTAGACAAACCCACCACCAAGTCTTAAAATGGTAGCACGCGCACAAAAAACATTCGTATCCCGGAAAAGATTGTTTGGCCGAAAGGGCGTGGGAAACGGCCACCGCTTGCGTAAGTTGGGAGGCGGCCCATATCCTCCCCAGAAAACCTGTGGACTTGTGGTTTGTCGTCGGTTGCTCATGTTGTCCGAGGTGGCTGCAGTCCAACTGGGTTGTCTCAGGACCTCAAGCGCGCGCTTTCAATTCAACCGCCGGGATGCCCATCACACGGTTACGAAAAGGATACATCCAAACACCACCTGCTTGACACGCGGATCTATACTTTAAGCGCCTCACCTTGAAAGGGACAAGGGGTTTCCTGTCGCGCCTCGGGGTGGAGCTCCGCCCCTGCGACCTGGGACCACGGCAGCGCACGCGCGGCCTCGTGCGCGAAAGTCGGAGACCTGATCCGCCTTTTCTTTGGTACTGATTTGGATCCCCTTTTTCTCGCCCTTTTGTGTCAAAGTGGCCTGCTTTTTGGGTTTTTCTCTGGATGTCTGTCAAGCAAGTTTGTTCGGGCCGTGTACTGGTACCAAAACCAGTTTTGCATGTTCGACGCTTTATTTCCCGATGTTCCCCGAAGCCCGCTGACGCGCGTACATACATACGTACATACACACATGCATACGTACATACATACATAACATAACATAACATACCATGCATACACACATTACATAAACACACAACAAAACATAACATGTCAGGCCATGTCATAAAAACATAACATAACATAACATACCAGTACATACATACACACGTACATACATACATACATTAATACATGCGTTACATTACATTACATTACCGTATGCATACATACACATTACATTACATACATACATACATACATACATACATACAATACACTTACATTACATGACATTACATACATACATTACATACGTACGTACATACATACATAACACAGCATAGGATAACGTAACGTAACGTAGCATAACATACATACACACATACATACATACATACATACATACATACATACATACATACATACATACATTACATTACATACATACATTACATAGATACAAGACATAACAACATCGTAACATAAAATACATATATTAAAGCATTCATACCGAAAAAACAAAACATTAATACATAAATACATACATACATACATTACACACAAACATACATACATTACACACATAGCACACAAACACACACATCACACACACACATACATACATACATACATACATACATACATACATACATACATACATGCATGCATGCATGCATGCATGCATGCATGCATA